ATGCATAAATAGCTGCATACATAAACATTAAGACTACATAAGCTGTGTGTGTGTATATATATGCAAACATACACATATATACATATATACATATAAACATATATACAAGCATACATATATGTTCAGTTTGGTTTTGCGACAAAGGCTCTTCCTACGTATTCTGACCACCATTTTTACTCTCCCAAGGGCATTAGCACCCGACATGATCGAAAGTACCGTATGGTGTCCTCAGCTCATGCAGCCTTTGCCCTGAACCCCAAACCCATGCAACCTGACATGATTGACAATAACACATATTTGAAAATCAAGATTCACACGGAATTTAGAAGACATCACCTTTTTCGACAAAAGAACAATCTTCCTTCGTGGCCTGGGCTCACCTGATCATGAGCGAAATCACTCCCTGGAGCCCGGAAAGCCTCAAGTCAAGTGTGAGAAGACCTGCCACGGGTCCGAAGAGTTTAGCAAAGGTTCTACGAGCTTTTTAAAGGGGGGTGGGTGGGGGGCTACAAGTGTACGTATTATGGGCTTCGCTTTGGAAAACCTCAGGCTCCAAAACTGAAATCGCACCCCAAGCTGTAATCCAACACATTAAATTTCGCGAACCGAACCCACAACCCCTGCTGATATGCGGAAAGAAGCCCTTCGAAACCCTGTATGATACCCTCACGGAAACTCACGATCGCTCCGTAAAAGCCCTAAAACCACAAACACACCCAACCCACCGGTAGACTCGCAACCCGGAGCCCGAACCTGTGAAGTATCTTGCTTGCTCTGAAAACCTTGGTCGAACACGCACATGGGGGGTTGTCAACATCAGGGTCCCTTTTTGGGTACCCTAAATAGTAGGTGCCGTACTATGTTAGGGACCCCAAAAGAGACCATAATTTTGACAACCACCCACATGCAACGGCATGCTCTTAAGGCCGTCCGACACAAAAGGGCTGTTAAAGCAACTCTCGACGCTCAATCCCGACATTTAAAAAGGGCCAGGAGACTCTTCAACTCTTTCACATCGGGGATGGGCCGCGCCTGGGAGTAGGGATCAACAGTGTTCAGGGCTTAAGGCGCAGCGAGAAGGTTGCGTTAAGAAAGCTTTAGGGTTTCGGGTGCCATGAGAGTTGCGCTCTACCCAGACAGCGCATTACCCCTTAATTAAGGAAGATGGCTGAAATTATATAAGTAGGGCTTCATACATTATGATCTAACCAAGAGGGTCCATATACACTACTATTATGCCCCCAAAACATGGTCTTTTGGGACCTAGTTGCATAATGGTGGTATGTGTGGACCCTCTGGGTAAGCTACATTCCTCAATTAGGGTGTTTTGGGCCCTAAACCCTAAACCCTAAACCCTAAACCCTAAACGCAAACACGGGGGGACTCGCGCTTTCGGCTTAACATGGTCAGGGACTTTAGGTTGCTGTTTCCGAGAAGAGGGGACCCTAATATAGAGCCCCTAAATAGTAGGATCCTTATTATAAGGACCCCAAAGTAAAGTACCCCTGATTTCCGAAACTCCCACTAGGGTTTAGGGTACTCCCCGCGGCTTCGTTGCGAGGTCGGTCCCGGTCTGGCATTTTTTAAAGGAGCAAGCATTGCTGAGAAGCCCTGCTACCTACAGTGCAATTTAGGGTAGGTTCTGACATACCGGCAGGGCAGTAACCTGTGCTGTAGATACAGTTGCCTGCGCTTCTTTTGGGTTTAGGATGTGAGCCAAAAGGCTTGAGGGCATCGTTCCGATTCTCTTCGAGGATGTCACTTCAACCCGACCCCTTAAAGCGTGTTTGGAGTGGGTCTTAAACTATAAAATTGCAAAGACTACACGGCCATATTATTGCCAGCACTTCCGACCCCAAAAACCAGGCTGCGCGTATTAAGCCAACCCGTAACAGTACCCCAAGGGTCCAAGTACCTAATAATCATATACTCTCCAGAATCCTAACCTACATAACTACTACCCCCAAAACCGAGCAGCTGATTATTGGGTCCTTTGGACCCTTGGGGCTACAGCCGAGGAAGACCAGGCCCCTGGCAGTACCCGACATGGTCGTGTCGGCTGCAAGCCATCAGAGATGTCGGGCTTTCAGCTATATAGTGCTTTAGGGTTCGTCTTAGGCGTGAGGGCTTCGGGAGTGTTTTAAGGTTCAGGTTCGGTTTAGGAATTAAGGTCTATAGCTTGTAGGTTACGGAGTTTAGGCTGCAGGGTTTTTTTTACGGGTTGGGGTTCAAAGGTTCAGGTTTCAAGCCCCTCTCTGGGCCGCTTTACGGCTGCCGTTTTTCAACCCCGAAGGGCGCCTTCGTCTGCTTTCTTTGTGCTTAAGGGTTTAAGTTTTTGCTTAGGGTTTAAGGTCTTTGGTTTTTACTACGGTAATGAGGCTTTGGGCCTATATACTTGGGTTTTAGGGCCAGGGTCTGCGGCCTTCAAGTATTGTATAAGGTTTTGGGCGCAGGACCCTTTTGACTCTGCGACATGACTCATCTTCTGGGGAATGGCACCACGGTCGCGCTTTCCGCCGCACTACACGTCCTGGAGCCTGGACTCAAAGGAAGGGATTGATGTTTCTGGCTTTAGGGCTTAGGCTTTAGGGTTCAGGCTTGGTGAAAAAATGCTCGGAAATCAGATCTTGTCGTGGCGTCAGCTAGCATAGGATCCGTCTGTCGGGATCTTGTGGTGAATGCGCAACCAAGCAACATTGCCCGAAATGAACGCATTCACAGCGAAGAGTTGGGTTCGGAGATTTGTTCTACTATACAAGATGGCATTAATTGGGCTAACCGAAAATAGCATTGCCTAGTGTTCTGATCAAGAAGCTGTGCTCGAACTGCCCAAAGCTTCGAACATGTAGGTCTTCCGGGGATACTATAACCTACTGTTTTGACCGTTATGCTCTATAACTAGGGGGTCATAACTTACTACTTCGCGTTCAGAATCGAAACCCTAAACCCCCAAACCCCAACGACCCTAAACCCTAAACTCTATAGATCCCTTTAAGGAACATATAGATCCCTTTAAGGAGCCCTTTAAGAACCCTAACTAACTAAGTCCCCTGCTCAAAACGAAGTCCTGGAGCTCTAACATCTGAGACCTTTTTCCAACGGCTCGCACCACGGGGCCTGGGGCCCCCTCGTGTCTGGCCTCCTGTGCTGCGACAGCTCATTTAAATGGACGGAATTCATTAGTTAAGCTACCACCAAACATGTAAACCCAACATAAGTTGAACAAGCAGCACCCTGGAATGGGAAGGACGCCGATAATTACTCCCCATATCCTGATGGGAGACCAAAAAGGGGGTTTTAGATTCTTGGGGTAGGGATTCCTTAATATGAACCCCATTATGGGAACCCTCATCATAGGCTAAAACCCCTTTTGCCCTCCTATGATATCCTGAACCCGAGATCTGGCATCGGCAAACTATAAACTTTAGGGTTTAAGGGTCCATGTACCCGAATAATATACACTTTGGCCTTAAAGTAGTCCCTATATAGGTACTTTGGGGCCAAAGTATATACTATTTGGGTCCATGGACCCGAATAGTATACACTTTGGCCTTAAAGTAGTCCCTATATAGGTACTTTGGGGCCAGAGTATATACTATTTGGGTACATGGACCCACCTGAATGTGCAGCAGGAGGCCGCGCACTTCTGCTCTCGAGGAGGAGCAGAGACCCAATGCTTTGGGGTTCACTGCAGGCTACCCAGAGAGCCCAGCGGTAAGGACCATGATGCTCGAGGCCGATATTCCGAAGCTAAGGTGGTGGCAGACGATGAAGAAGACATGCGATTGCTACGCTGCGACATAAAGACAAAGGCATCGCTATACATGATACCGGAACTATGCAGTGATCTCGGTACTTTAAGTCATCAAAAAGCGATATCACACAGGAGAAGGACTTTTGCACCGCTTGAAAGCCACCCCTATGCATCCTTAGCCATAACCCTAAGGGTCCTGGGGCCTCAAATACTTGGGCCTTTGTGATCGATGCCATACTTAGGACATGTTCTGGGTCAAGGCCTTGTTATCATGGCCTTGGAAGAAGGTTGATGCTGGGGTATGGAAGGCCTTGATTCATAGGCCTTTTGTTGTTGAAGTACAAGGTATCACCAGGTAAGCATGTGATGCTCGCCTGCGAGTAGATTGTGCGAGTGAACATCGCGTGGAATTGAGAAGTAGGGAAGGAACGCACCGCTTCAAACGTCGACCAAGATAAACAAATGGAAGAAGACATATTGTTTTTGGCTCAAACGATTCGAGATGCGGTAAATTCTGGCTCGAACCGAGACTTGAAAACACGGATACCATGCTTTATAAACACAGTATTCACAATGTACATGTGGCTACACGTATACGAATGCATGAAGTACACCTGGAACAGCCTCGTGGGGGCAGCTAGAAACGTGCATGATGTGCACAATGTTTGCTTGGCAGGCGGTGGCTCGGACATGTTCAGTGCAGTCCAGCTTGTGTGTATACAATTTTGACACATGTGTCCAGCATCTTCAGATTCGGACTCAGTGGGAATGGGAATTGGATCTGTAGCTACCAGGCAGTATGTTGACCTGATGGTATGCTAGATTGAGCAAGCTTCGATTATTTTCTTTGAAGTAATTATAAGGGCACCGGCTACAATTCAGAGTGCCACTAGGCAGCGTGTTGAACTGATGGCATGCTAGATTGAGCAAGCTTCGACTGTTCTTGAATTTGAGGGCACCGGCTATAATTAAGAATTCGGAGTTTTTTGGCCATGGTCATGATTGCTGTGCTACCAGCATTGTCATGAAGCGTGCTTTTCAAGAAGCCCGGCTGGAGAATGCCAAGAAGGCAAGAGCTGAAGGTACTACCCCCGCTCTGCGTTTTATGTGTGTGAGCACTTCAAATCAGCATGTGCATGCTTTCTGCCGGTGCAGTCGGTCCTGCTGTACACATTGAAATGATTGAGCAACCCTGTTGCCCGGCCTGGCAGCATTTTGCTTACAGTTGTTCGAACTTCTTTGAACAATGGCGGACGGCAAGGAGAAAGCCGCAGAGCTTCTCCGGGTCCTTGAGGAAGCTTTTTCCGACGTGGACTGGGTGGCGGTGCGAAAGGAAGGAGGCCGCCTCATAGAGTTGGATAGCTCCCATGGGCTTGGTGTTGGGTGGGAGAAGGAGGCGGGATCAAGTCATTGCTGAACGAATTGCTACCATTCGAATTCAGAAAATCGTTTCAACTCTTGTCCCTGAGATCGTGAAGAACGTGCGGGTTCTCATGCATGTCCTTGACCACACCGTGAACCTGCCTGCCCACTCGGTCTTCAAGGCTTGGTTGCATGCTCTTGTGGTGTTTCTGAGCATTCCGTTATAAACCACCAGCACAGGCAGCCTTCAGAAAGCTGGAGGAAAACCACAACTTGTTTACCTCCCGACGGGAAGCTGATGACTGGGCAGGGTCTGAAGCCGGACGGTTGAGAGGTTTGTGTGCTTTGGCGATCCGTCACGCGCGACGGAGCCCCAATGCGAGGTGTCTAGTCGATCATATATTCCAGTCGGAGTTGTTCGAAGTCTGTCATTACGTACATTTTCTTTGTTGTACACGCCGAGGACGCCCGAGATGCAAATCTTGAAAGACATGATCCGTGCTAAGCTGAGGCTGCCAGCAGCAGCATCTTGGCTAGCATTAAGTCCCAAAGCCGTTATATAGCGAGCGAACCCCACAAGCCGAAACAGAGGAGAAAACCAATGGGCCTGTATTGAGGTACTGTACATGATCTCACAGATGCAAACCTAAAACGAAAGCCTGTTATAAATGAGAGCCACAAACCTCAAGAGTCGAAATTAGTCCAGCCATCCAGGTCAGATATACACGAGACCTGTTTACAAGCCCCACCGCTTAACCATTTTGATAAGCAAACACGTACAACGTACACATATGCATCATGCTGGGATGTTCCCAGTTCTATCCCAAGGATGACAGTGGAACGGAGAGTGATGATGACGATGGCAATGATGAAGACGGGGGCGATGATCATGAGGAGCACAGAAATCGCACAGTCATCATGTTTGTCACTGAGAAAGTTCTTTAGTCATGCTGTCTTTGCGAGCAGGATCATGATCGCAAAGGCTGTCCAATGGCGGTGGATGAGGAGCGGGGTCGACCTTCGGCTTCGCAGCAACGATGAAGTATTTCTCAATTCAGTCTAGTCGAATCTAGCATCAGCACTCATGCCGGCAATTTCGGACAGGGTGCCATTGGATTGGATGATCCGATATTTGCGCCGGTGGATCTCACAGAGGCGGGTCTTGTATAGAACTTGGTCCGATTTTCTACATATTCAAAAAAATGCAGATGAGTACCGACAACATCCCCAGTCATATAAGCTCTAGACCCTTAGAAAAGCCCTGGTGATATGACAATGTCAGCTTAAAATTTAGTATCATTTTTTGTTTCTTAACGCTCTCGCTCTCTCTATCCTCTCCTCGGTCTCTATCCGTCTGTCTCTCTCGACACCGAACAGAGTTTCATGTTGAACACAGGACGACGATACGAAGCCCCCGCCATCACCAAAGAGAGCCGTGGCTACGCAGCAGCAGGCTGCTTCCTTCCGTGGAGTTTCGGATTCTAATAGAGACTATCGCAGCCTTTGTAAGAGTATTTAATTCCGAGTCCAGTATCCAGGGTCTTTTCGATCATAAAGTGTCACTTGAAGGAAATGAACGAGCAATTTACACTGAGGTATGCAATAACTGAAAAAAGCTAACCCATAATAATCATGTTATAACAAGATACAACATATAGTTCATAGAATAATAACACAATAGTTTCAAGCCTCTGTGCAGGAGGATGACATTCCCGCGACCCGACCATCATTGAAGAGAGCCGCGACATCGAAGTCTGCCGAGGAGGTGTGGTTTCAACAGATTAGGGGAGAGCACACTGGATCATCATGCGAGACGGTTCCGAGTAGTACATGTTGACGCAGTCCACTCCTTGGTGCACTACGATACAAGTTTTACTAGAGCTTACCATAAACCCTGCACCCCAGAGCCTCACAATAAGTGCTGCAGGCTGACATTCCCGCAACCGAGCCATCGCCGAAGAGATCAGCGAACCCGAAGTCTTCCGAGGAAACGTCTTCTGGGTGTGGGTGTCTGTGTCGTTGTGTCTATGTTCAGGATTATCATGAGAATACAAATCATTGTAAGTGATGCTCGATCTGGAGTTTAGTCTAGGGTTCAATTGTTGCTGGAGGATCCCCCTGGCACCAAGTCAGCACCGAAGACCACTGTCGACCGCAAACGACAGGCTGCTTTCAAGGAGATGTGGACTGGGCAGCAGTTGAATTCTAGCTCAAAACAAGTTGGATAGTTGAACCGACCATGCTTCAAGTATTCGTTTGCAGGATGCCGAGCCACTGCTGGCCGGTGATCGACCGAAGCCGGCAGAGGTCGAGATGTCTGACGATGTCAGAACGGTCATGCTGGAGCAGCGACAGGGCCGCAAGCGTGTTCGAGAGGAGCAGGCTGCTGCGGCTGCAGCTAAGCAAGCAGAGAAGCAGGCGAAAGCAGAGGCGAAGGCACAAGCGAAGGCGAAAGCTCAGGCGACTAAGGGTCGTGGGCGAGGGAAAGCGGCTAAAGCTGGGCCTCAGAGCACTGAGCCAGAGAGCGCTGAGCCTAAGAGCGCTGAGCCTGAGAGCGCTGAGCCTAAGAGCAGCACGGGTCGTGGGCGCGGGGGCCGTGGGCGCGGGGGCCGTGGAGCGGGCAGAGGTGCGACACAGGCCAAGGACAGATTTCCCGATCAGATTTCATTATGTGTCTGTGCTTTTCGAATAAAACTTGAACGAACATACCAATTACACAACCTTGGCAGGACACGAGTGCTCCAACTGCTGCGGCTGCCAAATCCAATGATTCGAAGAAGGAAAGGGAACAGCGTGAGAGTTTTAATATAATGAGCTGTCTGTGATTGTGGGGTGAGGCGAAGAATTCGAAGTCTGCTTTCAGCGACAAGAAGATCAAGGCTGGGGGGTTCAGTCTTGTCTGTGGGATTGTACATCCAACCCAAATATATTTGGTCCACACAGAATCCTGTTTTACTGTTTGGGATCTTTGTGTACACAGACAGATGTGGCAAATAGTCAGAGCAGTGATCATAATCTGGGAATTGATTAGCTCGTTTGCGAACACGGGCAATGTATTGCGCATTGTATTGAACAGCCACTCCTCCCCAACATCAAAATTAAATTAAACTAAACTCTTCAAGACTGCAGGCAATGCAAGACGCCTTCAAGGAGTTCAAGGCTGTGGCCAAGGACGTCCCGGAGTTGTTGCTGCCAGCCTTTAACCCTGAGGAGAAAGGGACACTCGGTTCAGTATATTATTAATGGGCACAAGCACGCTCATGCATATTTGTGGTGTGATTCATGATACAGACGACTAGACCAGCTTAATCCAGTGTTGTTCTTAGGTCGTTCAATTTGCGGTGCCCGGGACGTGGTTCGGATACCTCGATCGGCATCCTGATTGACCGAAGTGCCTTCTACGTGTGTAAGACGGCCATCAACGACGAGCTGGCGACATTGGTTCGCAAAAGCCTCGAAATTCAGGCTCGGTGTGGGATCGTCGTTTTCAAGTCCGAATGAAGTTTGCATGGTGTTCGCTCGAGCCACATGTTGCGATTGTGATATCATAGGTGAACAGCAGGGATGGTGCCCACTTGTCTTGGAACGTCTACTGTGGGATGGCAACTTCGAAACCTGCTGGCGATTTTGCTGTAGATGTCTGCCTACAGATTTGAGTTTGCACCGTTCGACTGTTTTGTGCATGAACCCTTTTCTGAGAGTGCAAAAACATCCAAGGTGGTACTTGGCGAAATGCCTAGCAGGCTGGACTGGCGTCTCGAAGCAGAAGGCCCGGGAGCTCATCTGCCAGGTCTCAACCTCGTGGGAGGGCTGCTGACGAGAGGGAGCGATTTCTTGAGGACACGTGTGTGGCCATCGAAGGCTAAGCAGTAGTGCATGTCATCAATACCAACAATGTACGAACAAGATAGCATTTGAGTGATCGGGGCCATTTTCGCACGTGTTAAATTATGATGCAGATCTGGAGAGCTGCTGGGCGCGAGCTAAAAGCTGTTGTGCGACCTGAGGGCATGACAGTCGAGGATTCGGGTGCTGGATGTGCGTCGCAAAACATGAGAGCTGGTTCAACACACTTATGCTCAACAGCTTGGACTGGCACATGCACACACATGTATGTATGTATGTATGTATATATATATATGCAAATATATCTTTTTTACATATGACAAAATACATACCACCATATATGTTTATGTATATACACACCCTGTACTATCTACATTTCATGTAGGGCTAGTGGCAGTTCTATATGTGTAAGCTTGGGAACATAGCAGGAATACAGTGCCTACCCAATTTTGTTGCATTCCAGAATGCCTGCTCCTACGCTTTTCCTGAGTGGTGGAACTCTGGCCAACCTTTTGGCCTTGGGGATTCCGTGTGTGTTGTGCCTGAGATGCAATAAATGACTCAGAATGATGCCATTGTAGATATCGTCCGAAGTGCAATGTTTCGGAGCTGTCGTTTGTAAACTTTGTGTAGTTGGATACTCAGGATTCAGCTATGCCATTATGTGGCTGAGATGAAAAATGTCGATCTACCAGTACCACAGGGGTTCGAGAGAGACCTTGATATGTTCGAGCTTTTCAGTGGATCCGGAAAATTGGCGAGAGCATTCTCAAGGACTCTTGGCAAAGTGTCTCGGTGAAGCTTCGGCCCAGTTATCATTTCATGAAGTTTCACATCCTTGAGCATCACCATTATGAGCATCATCCGGACTTCTTATGTGCAAGAAATGCTCAGGCTCGGGTTCAGGACTTCATCTTCGGCCATCACCATGACTTAGGCTCAATCGCTGGGCTGGTCAGGGCTTTGGACGCAACGCTGGCTTTGAGGGAAGCGGCAGTTTTGTGGCTTGGAATACCATGCTCTACATTCGTTTGGATGTCGAGCAGCCGACACCAAAGGACCCCGAAAGCTCCCTTCGGGAACCCCAAGTACACCAAGAAAGCGAACATATTGGTGCTCCGGGCAATGTTCCTTGCAATAGTTGCTACACTTCGGGGAGTCTATGTTGGCATAGAACAACCGTCTTCCAGCATGTTGATGTATGTGCCACACTTGCGATTGCTTGCAGCGCTCGCTGGTATGAACTGGCGGCATGTGAAGACGCACCTAGCCTGCTGGAGAACCTTTTTGATTTAATTTTGAGGTGCGAGACTGTTCGAATACGTGGTGGGATTCAATTCGTGTTATGTTTCAACTTGACACTCACCAAACCTGCTTCCAC